GTTTGATCTTCGATAGAGAACCGGCGTAATTCGCCGCTAGAAGTTCGCAATTACTACAAGTGGATTCGATTGACTGGCGTCATTTCATCTGATTGTTTCGCCAATACCGCGCGACATTTACTTAAGAATGAAAGCAAAATGAAAATCGAGAAAGAAAAGTGTATTCCGCGATTGTGCAACGACGAGTTTGTCGCGCGCGCGCGCGCGCTTCTCGGCGATGATAAATTCGAGAAATTCCTCGTTTTGCCTACATCTCTTTATTACACGGTGACGTGCGATTGCGTGAAGAAAGTGACGGTTTGTTCAAATATCATGAATATTTAGCAATATGTCAGATAATCCGGTAATTTCCTCGATCGCTAATCGTGCGTATAGCTTGCGGAGATTTATGACTCACGTGAAATATATGTATACATGTTCATGCTTTGATAAACGTCTTAAGAGGAAACAAGTGTAAGAGATATCTTCTCTGCGCTGATTCATTTTCTAATGAGAATACCGAGGCAAGAATAATAATGATATGTGCATGTATTTTAAATTGAATACCATTCAATAATGATAGAGTTATTTGCAGCGAGATGTGTTAGCTACAGAAATTGGAACATTTTAATTCTGTTCTGTTGTGGAGAAAATTATATTATTTGTTTTTTAAATAAATTATTTTATTTTATTATTTACAAATTCATTTAAACGAAATTAAACGATGTTTTATTAATTTAATTTTTGTATCGTTTTTAAATTGTTAAAATTATGGAAGATTTATTTATTACTTTGATAGACTAAGAATTATTGAATTATATCAATATTTTAAATAATAATTTAAAGATTTAATTTTGTGAGATAAAAACTGCAACATTTATGACAGGTATTTTAAGTGCTTACATCTTTTTGCATAAAGCTGCATAATATTTTCAATCGTACATAATTGTTTCACTTTCATATCCCTTACGTGCATCTCATGCAATTCGAAGATGATTAATGACATTGAACGATCAAAGCCAAAAAAAAGGGAAGTAAAAAATAGAAATATGTCGCATGAAAACTGGTTTCTTATCAGTTAATGAATCATTTCGCTTCAAATTGCCACGTGTTTATCGTTTAGAAACAATGAAGGCCGTCCAGGCAAAATTTTCTAATATGTAACTTATAGCTGCGGAAAAGAACGGTATTATATAGTGTTAGGAAAAAAAAACTGCCAGAAAAATTATAATGTTTGAAGTAGATAAAAGCAGTTTTTCTCGGTTCTAGTTTTACTTAGAAACTTTTAGCCTAATGTCGATGTTAACAATTTAAAAAGAAGAAACTTGCGATAGTGCAGTATAAATTTTTTAGAGTTTCTTGACAACCTTAAACGATATTTTATTTTTATGTACTGTGTGTGTGTGTGTGTGTGTGTGTGTGTGTGTGTGTGTGTGTTTGTATGTGTGTATTTGTCATGTTTCGCCTTCAATCTATGGATTATATTATCAGATATATCAATAAATATCATAAAATGTAGCGTGTTTGATGGCAAACAATTCGACGTATAATCATGTGTTCAAACTCAATTTTTTAACATCTTTAAACAAGTACGATGCTGCGACTTCCCGAATACACGTCTGCACAGATCTCGTTGCATTAATGAGCATTAGCCGAGTCGACTCAATTACGGAAGAAAAGATCAGCGATTGATAAACGCGCGACGTGGGATGCGAAATGTGCCTGGACCGCTTATCGCTCTTAACAATGACACTTCTCTCGCTACCAAGGTCTAGTCGTAGTCAATGTAAATTGGAGTAGGTAATTACGCCTAATTATACGCGAGAACAAAAATCCAGATAAACCGCGAGCGGATGGATTAATTTCAGATTGCGCAAATCAATGGGAAATTTTGATGATTATCGCGAGCGAAGATGAAGACACGCGAGTTTCTCGAAATTCTTCCTTATCGGGAACGAAATCGCGGGAAACTATCGTCTGAAGTACGATCCCCGATGCAGATTTCCTATCAGGGAGAGACACGGGGACGAGCGTCACAAACAGATGGATAATTGCCGGCGAAGTCGCTGAAGGAATTTATTTCGGGCCGACGAACGGAGATACAAACGGAGTTTGAAAGTGGAATTAGTCGAAGATTAGACGGGCGCCTGCGAGTGTATTTAATTTAATTTAATAAACCTTTCCATAATCTCCAGGACAGTCGTCGCAATCTGTTCGATTAATCTAATCAAGTGCTACCAAACGAGATGTTATCGGAAGATGATTGCGCTTCTTTTTTCCTCGCGAATAAATTTGCACGCAGCTGACGATTGCGTACGCGAAATTGTTCTTTCGCGGGAAATGTTGTACGCTTTCGCAATTTGTACTTTTATTGCGTGAAACCTGTCGCAATAATATAATCTTAGATGTTATTATCTTATTAACAATCTTTTATTTTTATTTTAATTAAATTTTGTCATCGCATAAATTGCAAGTTACAAAATTATAATTTTTATATATTTTACAAATTATATTTTTATATTTTAATAATATTAATATTTTTATATATTTTTTACAAATTTTTATAAATTATAAATTATTTTTATAAATTATAAAGTTACGTATTAAATATTATTATTCATAATCTGATAAAAATTATAATTTTAAGTGCAATATGTGTAATGACAAATCTAACTAAAAGTTCTAACAAAAAGTAAAAAATATAATTAAGTATTTTATTATTCTTTTACTTTTGCTATATTTCTCATATTTATTATATTTATAACAAAGCTTTATGTTTTAATAATAAAATTTGTAGTTTACGAATCATCAAGATGTAAAAGAAAGAGGTTGAATTTAACAATAAATTACGATTTCTGTCGACATTTTTTCGCAAGAGTTTTTATCTCTACGCGTTCGATAATCCTGGAAATAAATTAAAGTAAAGAGGAATACGATGAAGATTACACTCACTTAGACGTTTACAAAGTACTCGGCTTAAGGAAGATCCGTTTTCGGTTCTTAGAGATTCAGGAAGAAGAAAAAGAGTCACAGAACGCCAAGAGAGCGCATCGGTTTCCCTCGTCGAGGAATTCAGAAGAAATTTCGCGTTCAATTTCGAGGATGCTTCTCTCCGCTACTTCGAAACATCACAGTCAAGCGGATCGAGTCTCGTTAAAATCTTCGTCAACATTTGTCATCAGACGGGAAATCCCTTCTGCGAGATCCCTTCCGGTTCCTCTCTACGACGTTCTCCAACTGGTCTCCAGCCGCTGACTTGCGCTAGCTAAGAGGGACGGCGGATGACGAAGTGCGAAAATAAGAAAACCGCTTTCGAAACGCGGTATTTGCGGCAAAAAATATATATATATATATATGTGTGTGCGCAGGTATTTATGTACGTCGGTGCAGGTACATAAGGATTTGGGACCGGTTTTCGCGGCGCAATGGTGAAACTGAGTTCGTGGCGACGCGCGAGCGGCCATTTAAACGCATCGCGGGGCGAACTCCCTCTCTCTCCTCGGCGACCTCAGCCTCCCCCGCGGACGACGTCGATGTGGCGAACGCACTAATCGTCACGTGGTGACTCGATCCCGGCCTGTCGAGAATTCGATTCGATCACGCGCTATCAGTGGTAATGCCCTCCGTCGCGAGAATTTTCTAGCATATAAACCGCGTCACGCGTACTCGTGTGAATGTCAGTTGAAAACCTCAGACGTCGCTCGAATCCTACCGAGATTCGTAAAATCGCACGCAGTCCCGAACCGAGTGGTCCGTATCCGCTAATGAGAGGTGCGTCCGTATCTGTTAATGAGGGATGAGAAAATCAATATTCCCGAGACGAGATAAAATTCGTGACGGGGATTAATATTCTTTCTAGTAATTAAACAATCGAGCGATATTGTACGTAGTGATAAAGCTGAATCCGACTATGGATATACACGCCGTAAGTTGCTTTACTTCTGGTTTACGAACGGCAAACAATTCATATTGCCGAGTGTTCAATTATTCGATTAAATGCGGGAAATTAATGCGGCTTATCGTTCGCGTTCCTCCTGATTGCGGGGATGAGACGAAGTTCCAGTTTTCGTGACAATTTCGATTTCGAAAGGCATTAATGCTATTGATTCAGAGCATAATTGGACATTGATAAAAAAAAAGAAAAAAGATAATATGATCAGTGTAACCGGTGTAATGTTTGCCAATTATCGCCTCCCCGATTGTCACCAAATTCGTTCATTTGAAATATATCATTGGGGATACTCGATTAAATAAGCGTATTAATATTCGTATAATTCAATATTCCTTTTTCTTCTAAAGTTTCGAGGCTGCTTAAGGATGCATTTATAGCCTATAGGCTATTAATTAAAACAAAGTCCGCTATAATAAAAATGCATTAATGAAGAGAAAAGCAGCACGAATAATCAGATAATTATTATAAAACAGAGTAATACACGCCGAGACCGCTTGTTTTCCCGGTTTTAATATCCTCGTATCTACATTAGTCAACGATAAGAATTAAGATTCTACATCATCCCTCTGTTGTTAAATACTGGATTCGACAAGATGAAGATATATTTGCTCAAGAAATCCATCGCAGAGAAAAACGCGGAAAATGCGAAAACTCAATTGTGCAAATTTTCCACTTATATACGTCCATTGACTATAACTATTATATTATATTTAAAAAAATAAGTATCTTATTAACATTGTTTAAATATCGAGTTGCTTCATATGTAGTTTATTATAAAATAACTAAACTTGAGTTCTTTATCTAAGCATCGAAAACATATCTTCCGATACAAGGTCTAATAATAGCCAGTATCGATATTGGAAGACTGTAAAATAAGAAGCTTATATAAATACTGAATAAAGTATTAATTATTTTTTGGTTATATATATTATTAGCTATTTTTGAATAAATATATATATATATATATATATATATATATATATATATTCTTATAATACTAAATATTCATCTTAATAAAAATGAAATAATAACGAGGAAGTAGAAATTGATGTTTAAAGATTAAAATTAAATAGAGAAATAAATAAATAGCTATGCCAAGCTTGTTTAATGTTACAATTTTCAATTTTACCTCAATCTAAAAGTAAACGTTTCAATTTAAACAAGGTTACGCTCGTCTCGATTTAAGTGTTAATTTTTAATATAATAAATATTTTAAAATATATATAATAATAATAATAAATAATATAATAAAATATATATTAAAATATAATTTTAAATATAATAAATATAATAAATATTTAATATTTTATAAAATTTGAAATATTTATTTCGAAACATATTTGAAAGCAAAACATATTCGATATTCAGATAAATATTCTTATCCAGGTTTAATCACTTACGGATAATTACAATGATAATTAGGCTAAATACCAATGTTCATATCCAATACATTTGTACACATGAGTGCGCATAATATATGCCACAAACAATTCTTGATAAAGTTAGTTAGCTATCGTTCTTGATAAAGCTAATTGATAATGCAAACAAACTGTCGAACGACTAAATACGTATTTTTACCTCTGAGAGATTTTTTCAGTAGTAAACATTTCTTCTTTTCTTGTCGCATCCAGTATTTTACAACGGAAAAACGATGCACGATCTCAGTTGTTTGTCGATTTAATGCAAACACGAGAATAAAGTCAGACTAAAATGCTGAACAAAATTACTAAACGATAATTATATAAAAGATTTCAGTTAAATTAATGCATATTACATTTCTTTCCATAAGATTCATTATACCGTTTCTTATTTTCCATAAGATTGCGATTATACCGTTTAATTTATTTTAGCATTTATTTAATTTATTTTATTTAGCATTTTATTTCTTGATTTCTAAAGAGTTATTTTAAATCTGTTTAGAAATACGACGTACGTATTTACTTTTTTTATTAAATTTTGTAAGTTAAAGATTTTTGCATAATACACTTTTAAAGTATTTAAAATATTTTAGTAATTTGAGAATCTCTGATGTAATATATTTTCGCGCTGTATTGTTTCAGCGAAATGATTAATTGGTCCGCGTTAACATTTTCCGCGTCTCTAATCAATTACCATAAATACTGATATTGTGCTCTTAAATCATCGTTAATGATTCCCGTACAAATTAACGCTTGTTGAATGTGCTTGTACTTCATATATTTGGATGTTGATATTCAATTAAAATATCGTTTATAACTTATTTGACGGCTCGATGACTCATAACGTCATGCCGAAAGTCATGGTGAATTTTTCTGACGTAGATTGACGTATGGATATGAGGAAGACACCCGTCGATACGAATTGGTGACGTTAACTCTGCTTATCGTTATTTAAGAGACGCGTTGTTTCAAAGAAAATTTTCTCTGACTTGTGAATTATTTAAGAACCCAGAAATATCCGGAATGTCGCCGCGGAAATGCGCGAGTGTATTGTACTGAATTGTATTGTACACTGCATGCTTGTATTTATGTACACTGCAACAGCAGTATTCATAAAAAATTGTACATATCATTCAAAATCACTTAAAATTAAGTTTTAAATTAAGTTTTTTTACAGGGAAGAATTATGGGTCAAATTTGGAATTGTAAATAATGACAAAATACATTATTAATCTAATGTAAAAAATTGTTAATTAAAACTGATTGCCTGCAAATAGTTTATCAATTTATTGATGAAATTGAATTAATATGTTTAGTGATATTATTTAATAATAATCGGTATCGGTAAAATATAAAACTGGCTATGTGTAAAATGGTGTAAAATGGCGAAAATATTTCAAAACTTACTATCTTTTTAATTTTAATTTATTTTATTCTATTTTAATCATAAATTTAAATAGAATTTAGAGAATAAATCGCCTAAGAAAATTAAATTTGATAAAAGTAGATAATAAAATTAGAAAGTAAAAATGTGTTGAGAACCACTTGTATGTCGAAATGTGTAAGTTCGATTTCCTTAAATCCTTAAATATTTACATTGCATTATGCAATAATATAAATGTGCGTGAAATCTCGTGACTGGTCCCGGTCACGGGACAGACATGCCTTTTCGCACTCCTCACCAGCAATGAGATTTCAAGGTAATCCTGTTGTTTTGCGGTATTTTAATCGGTCATGTGCTTTCAGTTGAACTACCAATCTGATAACACACTGATGACAGAGACTTTGCGGATCGACAATAAATCCATATCGAATCGATCCATTTAGAGACATAGGAAGAACGTTACACATCGAACGATATGCTTCAGGGGAATTTTTTTGATATTTTTAATTTGTTTCGCGATCACATTTTCGAGTACATTCTGTCATTGTAATATAAAAAGATATTCAATATTTCATTTTATCTTTTATCTGTCTCCAAAATTTGGAAACGAAAGAAGAAAGAACAAAAAGAAAAAAACTTATAATAAAATAAAAAATAAAATCATCTAAAATATTATAAAATATATTTAGCGTTTTTTATATAATTAACAGATTGGCCAATTTTGTCAATTTAATTATAAACATAATAGTTCTTACTTTTATTTTTTTAATTTTAATATATAAAATAAATCTTACCTGTCTCTATCTATTTGTAAAATTGCTAAAAATGAGCATTTTATTTAAATTTTGAAAATCCTTCTCACAAAAATTATTAAAATAGATTTCTCCGATCGTGACTTTTTAATATTTGACGTAAAATTTTAAATAAGTTTGGAAAAAAGATTCAATATTTATAATTTAATTTAATTAAATAAAAATAATTTTGTATCTATTTGTAACTCTGATATTGGAAAGAATGACTTAAAATCATCCTGTCTAATATAGTTCTTTTACTTTATTGAAGGCAGGATGCTTTTATAATTAAACATGCTGTGACAAATCAAAGTTATATATTGAGATGTCACGGAGAGAAATTTTATCGACAAGTCTAAAAACTTGGCCAGATCTGAAAATAATTTTCTTAAAGCATCTAAATTATTATATAGGACACTTAATAATAATAATATTATAACAATTTTTAGCTACAACAATCTTCTAGCAACTAATTTGAATGTCATATATTATAATTTTGAAAATCCAATAAAATTATTTTCCGACCTGGCCTAACAAAATTTTTAGATTTGCCAGCCAAACTGTTCTGCGGACCTACCTTGATCCCTTTAATTTGCTAAATATTTGATGACGCATTCCGCTAATATGACCCCATTAAATATGAAAAAAAATTGATGAAGTACCTAAGCGAAAACACGTGCTGCAAATTTCATGCGCAAACAGTGATTAGGTCGGTCTTGGAATCAAACAAATAATCATAATATATGACCTTGCAAAGGACTTGCATATTTCAAATATTAATTATGAGGAGTCACATTATTGACGAATTAAACAGCATTAGAATTCCTGTAGGCTCTTAATATTCGCCAAGACAAATAGTTTTATCGCTTATC